AATTAGGGTAGCATATGGAACATGACTTCATTGTAATTTCTTTGCATATTTTATTTAGTATTAAAGGTAGTGGTACAGTTCATTAAAATATTATATAATTATTCACTCTCGATGACTGGTTTTTTGTTAGGCGATGACATTTTTTCAGAAACAACATAAATTATTCAGACAATGCCAAACGCCAATAGCATTGGAGAACTAGAAATGATACGCCTCTTTAGAGAGCATTTGTATGTTTTACAAGAGCTGTTGTGGGGAATACATTGAAAATGAGTTTGTGCGCATGGGGTCGGACTCGCCATCACATTTGGCGCTTGCTGTATAATGTTTACTACTCACAATAACCGTCTTTTTGCCCACATGTTCCTTTTTTTTTGTTATCACTGATTATAACTCATTATATGGTTTTACTCAATAATAATCGCCATCTATAACGCGTCGCTTCGATGTCGTAGGAAAGTAAACTGTCCTGCTCTCTGATATTTTGTTCTACTTTGTCAACTTTTTGACCGAAAACCGACAAGAGAATAAAAAAATAACCCACCGGCTATCCAAGATACATATATTTGCCCTACACTCAATATTTATAATAATATATCCCTGTGTTAATTTACAATGCACATTACAATCTTCAAATTTTGAAATTTCGTGTACGTGGAGGTTGTTATGAAACCAATTCACCTATAAAATAGAAAACTTTTTTACCTATGCAGGTAAAAATAATATGATTTCATCTGTTTGAAAATCTGTTTTCCGTTAACCAGCTGTCGCACCCCTACGAACGACAACCCTCAGAAGTCGAAACTTGTGCGAGCTAAGGATTAACGAGGTCTTACCTTTTAACGTGTGATTCCTAACACGGGTTGGACGGTAGCAAGTGAAGATCGATCGTTCAGACTAGGGCTTGAACCACCGACCAACACGGCAGTCAATTCGAGTGAGTGAACAAAGCACCCACGCCGAACCGCTTGGCTACCGACTATCTACTATAGTAGATAATTAGTTTTCCTAGATATCATTATATTTTTTGTTCTTCGAAAAACATTTTTTTGTGAAGGAGATAACTCGAAAACTAGTTGAAATGGAGACGTGGAAAAGGATTTGAAAATGTATTTTTTAGGTCCTGAATACCTCAGTACGGGGTTAGATATTGAATTCCTTACACTTGTGCCGAACTAATTGCCAATAAAATTTGTATTTTTCAACTCAAAATCTACACGTGTTCCGTGAAACTCGTGGATACATTCTCTTTATTCCCCTGCAACACTTGTTGATGTTTGCCGGCATAAATGTGCAATTCATCGACAAAAATTTATTTTTCCCAATCAAATAGTAGCTGAAATCAAAATACAACATGACGATCTAAAAATACGCCAAACGGCCTTGTTTTTTTATGCGAATCAGCGCCTCTGATATTATTGGAAAGCAAAGTAATTTGAGTGGGTGTCAGGGACTCAAACATGAAATGGAAAATTAGATGTCCTTATGTACGGAAAGGCGATAAATTGATGCTGAAACGACTGTTAGAAATGGAGGATATTCGATGAGGTGTTATTCCCACATTTTTTAAGGGTGTTCTAAGGGTTAGATTTGAACTAGCTAAAAAATATCTAATATTATAATGGCTATACATTAAAGCATCCTGACTGCGACTTCAGCATCAAAAAATTTTCAAGTTAGAGTTATTTTATACAAAAATTTTCACATATTATAGAGAAATATAATAATAATAATAATATCGTATTTATTATCTTCTAATACATTTAAAGCAAATTAATCATGTACAGTTCATTTTTTTATGAAGATAAAAGGCGAAGTTCAATTTACATAATGACAAGTAATCATTCAATTGCTCTTCCACTTAACCTCAAAAATGTCGCCTAGTACGCAAAGGAATAAACAAAAAGGATTTTTAAATATCTTAAGATATTATGACTATTTATAGATTTGCAATAGGTAGGTAGCTATTGGGTCGTTAATAGTTTGAAGATAATAAGAATCGTTTGAAATTGATATTAAAATGATTGATGTCATCCCGTTTCATGGGCTCGGGAATGTCATTATAAATTGCACAGATCTGGTAGCTGAAACTCCTTCCAAAGAACTCTGTGCGAAAGGATGGCGCAGTTAGTCGGCCTTTATACCTTACATTAATATTATGCACATCAGTTCTAAAAGTAATTTTCTGGTGTAATTAAGACGGCACATTACTATTAATTATTTTGTGAAACAAAGTTGCAGCATGTAAAACACTCTCCTATCGTTCATATTTAACCAGCCGGTTAAAGCCGGCTTCAGTTTATGTGATATTTTTTCTCTTCTTCTAATACCAAAAATTACCGTAAGCAGGAATTCTGAACTTTTTGTATGTTTTTCTTGAATTGGTTGGTTAAACATGGACCATACAAAACGTCAGCATAATTGAATATAGATAAAACCAATGATTCGCACAAATTCGCCTTCACCTTCATGGGTAGGAAATTTTGGTGTCCATAAATGATTTTAAGCGAATAATATGCACAAGTCCTTATCTAAAATGATGCCCAGGCTTTTGGCTTCTGGGACAACCCCAAGTACATGATCACTTACTACTACTTTCACAGATTTGCAAATATCATTTCTAGGGCCTTTTGGTCCGAAAACAATAACATTGGATTTACTACAAATTATATTTGAGCAGTGATCAGAAGCATTTTTCACAAATAATTCACTATTGATTCATCATTTCAGATGAGAAGCAATAATACAACTGGGTATCGTCTGCATACAAATGTATATTACAAAATTTTAAAAATTTTGCAAGTTGACATGTGTAGATAGCAAACAAAAGGGGTCCCAAAATAGAGCCCTGTGGCACTCCACATATCAGCTTTAAATATTGTGAGCTGTTTCCTTCTATGGTAAACTTTTGTTGACTGTTGGTGAGATACGATATGATTGGTGATATATCATTTTTAGAGAGTCCTATATAGCCAAGAATTAATAACATTAAGTTAATAGTATCGAACACTCTACTAAAATCAAGAAGCACCAATACTGTATTATTTTTTGCGTCACGTGATCTTATAATATCGTCAACTATATGCAGCAAAGCAGTTGTACAACTATGTCCTTAACGAAATCCGGATTGAGTTATTGGAAGTATAGAGAAATTGTCAAGGTGTTCTTTCAACTGAACTTCAATAGCTCTTTCAAGAACTTTTGAAAAAGTTGGTAATAAACTAATGGCGCGAAGGTCTTTGTAAGATCAAAACAAGAAAAAAACAATATATTTTAAGGATAACAGACTTTATTTACAATACACATTAAAAAACATTCAAATGAAGTATTTTGTGCATAACCTTTTTGCAAATGTTGACTATCAAAATCATAAGGAGCCAACAATAATCCCCCATCATTCCTGCATCCCATCTGCCTTGGTAACGTTGCTCCATTGTCATGTCTTGGTGGAACCTTTCTCCTTATTCGTCACTGACAGCACCCAAATTTTCTGGGAAAAAATTCAAATGAGAGTGCAAGAAATGGATTTTGAGAGACATGCGACATCCCATTCTGCAGTAGTTTTCAAGTAGTTCTTCAACAAGTGTTTCGTAATTTTCTACTTTCTTGTTCCCTCAAAACTCCGAAACAATTCTTTTGAAAGAACTCCAGGCAGCTGATTCAAAATTTCCTAATTTTTTATCAAACTGTTGATCGCTTAGTAGTTCCTTCCTTGAGCGTTGCATTACTTAATTTTGAAAAAACGTGTTCAAGATATTACGCATTACCTTCTTAGTCTGATGCTTTCACAAAATTATTCGTTAACCCCAGTTCAATGTGTGATGGCAGTAACAAAACGTTTTTGGGATTAACAAGAGGTATATTCTTCGCGTTAGCTATTTTTCTCTCGAAGGCAATTCTTTTATTTGATAATGGCTCTGTGTTGCCCTACTGTTCCAAAGGCAAAGAAAACAGCAAAACTTCGTGAATCCGCCCTGAAGTCCTATGACTTTTAGGTCAACCTGCTACTTTTAAAGCGGTTCCGTATTTCTGGTATTTTCTGGAAACTTCGGGTATCGGAAGTTCGAGAAGCGGCGTTACAAATCTCATATATAGCGTTAGCAGATTCGAATACTGAGCAGAGCCGCTGTGTTGCCAGATTTCAAACAATTTCTTCAATTTAGGGAAAAAGCAAATTTGGAATACCATGTTCATTAAATTTTTGTGAAAAAAACCATAACTCAAAAATCTTACGTGTTAGGAAATGTTTACTATCATTTTCGCATTTAGGTACCAAAAATTTACAAAGAACTACCTTTGGCATTACAGTCGTAAATTGGTTGTAAACTAGTGTTATTTAAGTTGATCAAAATTAAACCTGAAGCAAAATGTGCCCAATTGCTATTTGTTCTTGGGTGTGTATTAAAACTGGCACAACTGAAAAACATTGTATGTGAATTGTTTCATAATAAAAGGACAACGATATGTTACAATCAATTTTCATTAGTTAACATTTAATTTTCAACCTTCACTATCTTGCATCAACTCCTTCATTTGACGACTTCACCTTCACTCATTGTTGCAACTATAAAGGCCTAACTATTATCTATGGAATCAACTTTTCCCACGAATTTCGTTCCTTTATATAAATAATAATATTGTTCTGCAATTAGCAGCACAATATTATTATTTTAATGCAGATCAGTCCACATATATCAAACTCTGCGACTTTCTGTTGTTTTATTTTTTGTTCAAGCCAATAAGTAAAACGGTGAAAGGCAGAGAAGGTTGTCAGCATTGCACTGCAAGTAAATAATTTATTTTGAAGATCTTGTCTGATAAAATCATTGTTAATGGGAGTAAAAGTAACGAAAATTCTTCTTGCTTTTAAATTAGTGTGACCAATCTAGTGAGCTTTTTTTCAACAACACCTCTCTCTTTCACTCGTTTCTTTTCAGTTTTATTACAATCACAACTGGTTTTGGTTCGATGCTGTAACTGGAGACAGAGTTGGCACAAAAGATTTCTAAATTTTCGGGGGTATGTTATGAAATTCACAAAAATATACCTATTATCACATTAATAAATAACGTCGATAATACCTATTATCGCTTTCAAAAATAACGTCGATAATACGTATTATCGCATTTGAAAATAACGTCGATGAACCATCTGTGTTTTTTTCAATAGTTCGCACAAAAAAAGGATTTTTCATCGGAATTGCACGATCATCGCTATCAGGAAGCTTTAGGGATTTCATGTAGTCGATGTGCTTCCCCATAAAAATCCTGTTTCTATTGTAATAAGATATTTTCTGAATTGAAGGGGTTATATTTTTATGAGTCCTGAAACAGCTACTTCCATATAAACATTGAATTATACGAAAGAAAAAAAATCTTTCGAAACAAATTTTTCTATATGAACACTGAATTATACAGAAGCTACTTTTCTCTACTCAGTTTGTATTTCAAACATTCGTTGTGGAATAAAAATCAGATATCATTCACATGATTTCTACTTTAAATGAATGGAAACACTTACATGGAACACTGTCATCCTCACTGGTGTACATCGATGTTTCGCCGTAAGACACTTGCCCTAAGGCTCTTCAGTACCAAATTGGATAACATTATAGAAAATACACACAATTCATTCATTAATTACTTATTTTCTTACTTATTTACTTATTTTCATTATTACTTATTCCATGACATATGCTTATTCCGTGACATTAAAAATCGTAATTCAGGAATGAATTGTGTATATTTTCTATGTTATCCAATTTGGTACTCTTACGGCGAAACATCGATGTATATCAGTGAGGATGACAGTGTTCCATGTAAGTGCAATTTGTTACCATTTATTTAAAGTAGAACTCATGTGAATGATATCTGGTTTTTATTTCACAACGAATGTTTGAAATACAAACTGAGTAAAGAAAAGTATCTTCTGTATAATTCAGTGTTCATATAGAAGTATTTGTTTCGAAAAAATTTTTTTCTTTCGTGTAATTCAATGTTTATATGGAAGTAACTGTTTCAGGAGGACTTTCTTCCAGTTTGTGTCTGAAAGTCACTTCTTTGCATGATCTACACATCCATGAATAGAGTTACTTATTTTCAAATCGATTACTTCCTTCCTTTCTTGGAAGATTCCCTCATCTATTTTTTTGTATCAAGATGGAAAGCCAAAAACTTTCTTTCCCAAAAAAAAATATTTTCATTCATTTCTGTAATATATTCAAGGTCCATCTATATAATGCCTGATTTATTTTCAGAGTAGTCCTAATCGGGTCATCGATCCCAGAAATCGGTATCGAACCGCCCAAATTCAGGACATTTATAAAGTCCCCATCCTTACCAGTCTTATTACACTCCTCATTGGCTTCACCTCGATTCTTAATTTGTCCTGAAAGGTTTCTTGCTCTGTCTCGCCTCCTATGAGTGTCTGTACCTCCGAATAAAAAAGCGTCGCAAAAACGTAGACGTCTGAAGCGCCGAAAAAGGAAACTGGCACACTCTTAACTCGATCCCGTCGCTGAAAACGTACTATCTGTCTGAAAATCCGGGCAGAGACTATGATTCGGGTTTTTTTACATTGACCCTACGCATTGCCACCAACGCCAGGTGGTTCGTATTGAAAGAGGGTAGCGAGGTCATTTTTTTACACCGTCCGGAGTTCAACAATGTCGACCCGATCGTCAACCTTTTTTAGGCGTCTAGCCGACTCTTCTTGGGGATAAGCGTGAATCACTTTTTGAGTAAACTTCATTAATTATGAATTATTAGAATGCAAAAGCGGTGAACTTTGAAGATAATGAGTGTTTTATTATTTGAATCAACAATTCAATGAATATACAGAAACACCACTGGCACATACGTACACTTTGATACAGTTTTACAGTCCGTTTCCCGTTTCAAACAAATTTCGAAAAATCTAGTATAGATTTGAAAAATATAAGATTGAATATTTGCCGAATACTGATGGAAAGTGATGGAAAAAAAATATCAAGATGCTGATCTATTTCAATCATAACTCAGTTGAAGATAATGTTTTGTTATGAGGATATTTTGAAAATACCGAGAGAATTAAAACTCTCAATTACTTTTTTCTTGATTTTTGCTTAGTGAATAAAAAATGGCTATCAAATAGAATAGAATAGAATAGAATAGAATAGAATAGAATGTAATCATCTGTAAAAGCAGAACATAATATGTTACAAAATAATTTGGTACACAAATGTTACTACTTCATTAGACTAGTCAACTAAAATCAGAATATATACCTATTTACAAGACTATTCTACGTACACAACCTACTTTCAACGCTAAAATTTGTTAAAAAGGTCATATTCAGTCATTTAAAAATTCCTTCACAGAATAGAATGCTTTTCTCAGCAAGGACTTACTTGAAAGAGATTTAAAAGTTTTAAAATCATTGAAATTTTTTTCACTGCCATATTTGTTCTTGAAATAATTATAAAATACGATGCCTTTGTATATGTGAGAGCATTGACCAATGGCAAGTCTCGAAAACGGCTGCTGCAAATTCCCTGCACTTCGTGTATTATAGTTATGGTGAGCACTATTTGTAGGTAGTACTTCCAATTGTTTTTTTACGTTTAAAATAGTTTGAAATATGTGCAATGATGGCACAGTTAGAATAGAAAAGTCAGTAAATATTTCTTTGCATGATATTCTTTGATGTACCCCTTTTATGCATCTAATAATTTTCTTTTGCTGTAGAAATACTTTTTCTATTTGAGTTGAGCCTCCCCAAAATATCAACCCATAGGATATATTTCATTGTATCAAACCATAGTAAACCAATAACAGCACGTCCATTGACACTGTATTCTTCAATTGCCTTAGTACAAAGCAGTTTTTACTCAGTTTATTACATAAGCTGTTAATATGGTTTTCCCAGCTTGGTTTATGGTCCAAGGTAATACCTAGAAACTTCGTTGATGTGACCTGTTCAATACTTTTGCCATCAATTCTATTCAGGGAACAGAACGTATTATTGATGTTTTTTGGAATGAATGAGATAAAATTTGATTTTTCTCTTCCGATTTTGCACTACCCAGTATCAATACTTGTTTTCGATTTTCGAGATACGATGTGAGCCAATTTAGTGGCGTCCCTCTAACACCAATGTGATAGAGTTTCTCAACTAGGAGATTGTGATCGACCGTATCAAACGCTTTACTCAGATCAAAGAAGAGTACAATAGAGCTGTTTTTTTGAGTTCAAAGCATCATATAGTTGCAAACATAATTCTGCCATAGCAGAACTGGTAGACTTGTTTTGTCAAAAACCGTGTTGAGATGAGCCTAAGATATTTCGAGATTCAAGGAAACTTGTTAATCTCGTGTTGAAGGCCATGTATATGATCTTTGCAATCTGACTCTGCAAACAGATATTTCTATAATTATTCAAATAGACGTTATATACACTGACTTGGCCAAGGCATTCGACAGAGTTAACCACGAGGTTTTGATCCTGAAATTAAAAGCATCCGGTTTCACAAACAACACACTTGATTTCTTTCACTGCTATCTCTCCAACGGAATACCGTGTACAGTTCAACAACATATCTTCCTTCAAATTTACCGCTACTTCGGGAGTTCCATAGGGCTTGATTTTGGGACCTCTTCTTTTCCTGTTATTTGTTAATCACATTTCTCGGTATATCGAGCATTCTCAATTTCTCCTATGTGCCGATGATCTCAAGCTGTTTAGAAGAATCGAAAGTGAAAAAAATTCTGATATGCTTCAAGATGATCTCAATAATCTATCTACTTACTTTTCAGTATCTGACCCATCTCTCAATGAAGCTAATTGCAAAATAATGAGTTTCACACGAAAGAAGTCACCTATTATCAAGGACTATTTCATTAATCATACCAATTTACAGGATTATTTTTACTGGTGTGTTTATTTTCTCTCGGCACATTGAATACTTAGTATCTGAATGTTATAGAAAAATGAGCTTTGTCTTAAGATCTAGCCGTGAATTCAATCACGATACTTGTTTGTTACTCTTCAACTCCATTGTTCGTTCTAAGCTGGAATATGGTTGTGTCATTTGGATTCCAAAGACCTTTTTATATTCTGAAACTATAGAAAAGGTCCAGAAACGATTTTTAAGAACACTCTTCTTCAGGAAACACAATGTTTGGCCTTTATTTATATCGTTTTCTAGCCAATTACAAGAATTCAACATGCAACCATTGAAAGACCGCCGTGAGTTCTCGGAAGTGATTTTTGTTTTCAACATTCTCTATACCATTGATTTTATTGTTACCTGACGTAAGACTGAGAAGAAGAGACAATCTATTTCGTATCTCAAACAATTTGTCTCCTCTTCAACAATGTCTCGAAACAGTTAACAAAATGGCGAGGAACTGTGAACTGGGACAACTCCTCTGAATGCTCAAATGTGTCCGAATCTTTTTACGGTCATTTTATTATTTATTGTTTCATGTTGTTATATTTTATATGGATTTTAACTGTATCAATGGTACTCAATAAATACTATATGTAAGGAACTTTTGAAAAAACTGTACATCATGTAAGTGGACACCATTCTGTTTGTTGTTCAGTATAAATAAATTTCTATTCTATTCTACACTGCTACACATGAACTTCTATTTCTGGTATACAAAGAAATTTGTTGGTTATAAGAAATTAAAAAAAAGCATCGAACTAATTCGGCTATAACATAACTAACAAGAAACCAAACTGGGAGAGAAACTCGAGTCATTTCCCTATTGTGGTTATGAAACGAAGAAATTTTTCAGGTGACAGTTTGTTCAGGATCCATCATGACAACGTGGGTATAAAGGTTGTTATTAAATACACGAAAAAAATCCTGAAAATTATTAAATACCCTCAAAAGAATGTCGTCAAGTAGATTTATTCGGTATCGATAATACCGAACAAGTTAGAGGTTCAAGTTAGCTAGATTCGTCAGCGGTCATGGAGATCCTTCTAGATTTCTAGGTCTACCTCCTCTCCACATTTTTCTGAAGAGACAGGCTAGATGGACTACATACAGACTTGTGCACATTGCCAATTGCACAAATCATTTCAATGCAGAGTCCAGCAGACTGTTGGTTGACATTGGAAGTCACAGCATGCTGGAAATGACCTCTGACTTTATACCTTCAACTGTCAACTACGAACTGCCTCATATCCTCCGGGAGAAGGACATATTAAGAGCAGAGAGCTGCTGGTTCACAGATAGGATCAAAAACACCTTCCGGTTCTGGTGCAGGTGTTTTCAGTCGCAATAACCAAAAAGGACTTTCCTCGGTAGGAAGACTTAACAGGTTGTCTCTAGTCTGGATTCCTGGCCATCCTGGCCTGGAAGGCAATGATGCTACTGACTTCCTTGCAATGAAGGGTGCTGCAAGCAGCTTCATCGAACCAAAACCTGTCAATGGCATCGCTTCAGGCTTTGCCAAACAAATATTGAACACCTGGATGGCAAGAAGGATGGCAGAAGTTATGATAATGTCAAAAGAACGTGTTTGTCACATATTAAATCTACATTCAGGCATGAGACAGCTATCCGCGCGTTGGGTGCCGCGTTTGCTCACGTTAGGCCAAAAACATGTTCGAATGAACATTTCCAATGCTTTTTTGGCGCAATTTAGGCACCGATTAACTTGGATACACCATTATAAGTCCGAAACGAAAGCACAGTCCAAATAGTAGACTGCAGAGGGAAAACCGGCTTCAAAAAAACAATAACTGTTTTTTGGGATGGGAAAGTAATGGCAACTGTTTTTTGGGATAGTCATGGAGTTAATTTGACCGATTATCTTCGAAAAGAAAAAATGCAACGCATCATTACTTCACAAGCCGTAAGCAGAGCTTGCGGAAAAACGGCCACATTTGCAGAAAATGAAAATCCTGTTTTAACAATCCACGAATTAAGTCTATGATTTGTTTATTTTCATCATTGCATAGCGTGGTTGGGGATGTAGCCGTAATGGGCAATACACATGTTGATGACGTCATACTCCTATATTTTTATTGAAAAATCTATTTCTGAATGTTAATATTATTAATAAGTTTCATTATACATTTCTTTTAAGTACTCATAAATAGTTAAACAGTAATTGGAGACGGAATTAATTACCCAGTAAAAAAAACGACATTTGCTTTTAAGCAGCTAATTGCGCAAGTTTGTGGTTTAGGAAAATTGATTTGATTATATGAAAGCATTGCTCCGAAAACAGTGAATCGAGGACAGTCCTAGGGATCATTTGCCTTCATTAACCTGTAAAATTTAATGTCATTTGCATATGGGAAAACTACATGTGACTTTCGAATTAAATATTCATTGAGATATCATGGTGATCTAAGATTAAATCGAGTCGGTCTCATGTTTGATATACCCCTGTGAATTCATATATTATATAAGCCTAATTAGATTCTGACTTTATATTAATTTAGTTTATCGGTTGGTATTGTAGAATAATCAGTTTATATCTTTATTTTTTGTTTCAGTAAATCTTTCCGGAGCTGATAAAGTGGATGCGTCGGATTTCGTTTTGCTCAAAGTTTTAGGAACTGGAGGTAAGTTTTTTGGCAACAGAATATTTTTACAACGTTTTTCTCTACTCTTAGTATTTTATATGTTTAGTACTACTGAATTATAATTGAAATTCAAATGGAATAATCCAAATTGAATATATTTATAGAATGAATTGAATAATTTCAATTCGAAGAGGTTATTAATTCGTTTCTCATCGAGGACAGTATACTGTTTCCTTTGAAAAGTTTACTAGTCCTCTGATTTTTTCCTTTCAAATAAGTTGTTCGTTATTTCATTCGAAAGTAATTCAGAAGTGCTTTCATTTTCTCCTCGAAGGTTTAATTGAATGTTTTGCAGAAACTTTAAATTCGATAATACCTTTTTATATTGTATTAATTTACTTTTTATCAGGAAGTGAGATTTGTAGAAATCAACAGCCTACTATTTTATTAAGGTTATGAAATCTGTACGGTGTTATTGAGAACACTCCAATTAAAACTAATCCAAGGTAAATATTGAAAACAAAGTTGTTTATTATCACGAAGGTTCTTGATTTTTCTGTAAACGAACTCTCCGTTCATATATTTGTTTTTATGAAGTATTCTTCCTAATATCTTTTCCGAGCGTTTCGTGTTCCAACAATAGCAGATAAGAATAAGAAACTACGCATTTGAAGCTGGTCAAATAATAAAGTATAGTTCCAGACAAAAGTCCAAATCTACTTGATATTTGAAAGTGAACATTAGAGTTGAGGATCTTTCAATTTTATACTGATGATGATAAAACTAACTTGTCAGTGTTCAAGGTGATCGAGATGTAAGAAGGCCTGTTAGACATCGTAGTTCATCCCTACTGTAGTCAAGAGACAATCTGTTATGTCTTCCTATCGAGAATATTTTTATTGACTTCTGTATGAGGTTGGATTTTTCCAATCTCTCCGCACACAATGGGGAATGTTCCTCAATTTGGGTTATAACAGCAAATGCAAGTTTGAACAAAATAAAGTTGAGTTTAATTCATGAGTTTTTCAAATTCACTTCAAGAAGTATTCAAATTGATGTTTCAAATGTTGGGTTTTAATTTTTAAAGGGATTTGTTTCTAATTCACATATTGGCAACAGCGCCTATATCAAGTTGAAATAATTTATACGTACCTAGATATTCTACTTTGAAAAAGGAAAATTATCTTTATAAATCAACAATTAAGTCAAAATATAAATTATAGTTCAATACCACCTCCACAAGCCACATAAACAGTTGTTTTGTTGTTTATTTATGTAGAGGAAGATAGGTTAGGTGCACAAAATGTCATATGTCACAGAATGTCTCGGAACTCGGAACATAAGTAAACAGAACAGCACGCCTCTGAAATATGTCATCTTTGTTTGTCTCATACAGGTAACAGATTCATTGTCCTTTATTAGCTATAACCGATGTTGCCAAATGGTGAAATAGAAACGAATCCCTTTAAATGTTGAATGCATTTCATTAAGTATTTAAATAATGTTTTAAAGAAAAAGGTTGAAATGATAACTTTAAAACCCGTTGTTTTAGAGCTCTTTTATGAAAACTACTTGATTTTCGTCAGGAGGAACATTCCCCATTCAATAGCGTAAATTTCCGCATGAAATACAGTCGCATAGGTTCCTAGGCAGGTTGATATCTCTATCCTGGCTCTACGACTGTTTTTGATCCATCTCCTTCTCGAGGAGTACTTCAGGTTAGGACAAAGGCATGTGGATCTATTCGATCCTTCACCGCAACTCGCAAGGGTTTATTGTGGCTCACGCCTATTCACATTCGACCCTTCGAGGAGTATGAATGTTTTTGTGATTTTTCATAGTTATGTTTTTTAAAACTATTTTTTCTAATTCTTCTAACTATATAAGAATCAGCCCTGTACTATAAATGCAAGTTGTGAAAATTCAATTTGACTCAAGAAATATTTTATCATTCTTGAGGCAATTTTAAATAAAAAATATCTCAACATAACTCTCTGATTGAATCAATATAATACATGTTGAAACCTAATATTTGATGTCAGGTAGGGATATTGACAGGTAGAAATAGAATTATTACACGCATCAGTTGACCGCATCTAATAATACGTTAGGAAATTTAAAAATTCAAATATTCATTAACGGTTTTTCTCAGTTGAAATATTATACCAAGTTAATTCGACAACACATAAATTCATTCAACGAATTATACTGTTACGACTGTTTGTTTCGATCACATAATAGCTAGTGTGATTGCATTACTCATTCGATAATCTGCAGAAAACAAGTACATGTTTAATTGTCTCGAATGAACGGATTCGAACTCTGCGACCTTGGCAAAAATATAAAAATTCAGTTACCGTTCTGCTCCCGGTAAATAATATACACGGAACTCGTTTGATATAAATCGATTCTCGTCGATAATTACGCCAAAGTTTGAATTTTTTCAATAGATTTAGTACAAAAGCTTGCTTAGATCTGTTTTAAATCTGTTTTAAAACTGTTTTTCTGTTAACCAACTGTCGCACTCCTACGAACGACAATCCTCGGAAGTCGAAACTTGTGCGAGCTAAGGATTAACGAGGTCTTACCTTTTAACGTATGATTCCTAACACGTTAACATGGATTGAAAAAAGTATGTTATTGTTTACTCAATGCCGATGAAAACCTATTTTCATTCAATTTTTATATGAGATTCTCTACTTATAAATACGAAAGTATCTAAACACTTATTCATCTCTGTTTCTCCATATTGGTGAGTCCTAGGAAGCTCAAATTTTATATATAGGTGCTTCTTAGGTCTTAGATGCGCACTAAGAAAGTATTTTCAAATATTCCAACTGGAGCTCCCCCGTGCAGTTAAAGGAGTGCGTTTACATATGAAAATTCCCTTGTCATCACTATTTCTACGTACCGCTATATTTTTGGAGGCTGAAATTTTGTATGTAGGTCCATTTTATATTGTAGATGTGCAATAAGAAAGAATTTTTAAATATTCCAACTGGGGTGCCACCTGGGGATAAACGGGGAGCGTTTACATATGAAAATTATGTTTTTGTACAATTGTCATTAAAAGTGACATTTTTAATGGTTGTCACGAGTATTAAAAGATAATGTTTACAAAGTAGCGTGTTGAGCAATAAACAAAACATGATTATTCAATTTTCAAGGAAGTTTTATTATGAACAATAGATATAGATACAATTAAATTCTGTTACAAATTTATTGTATACATTAATAACATTATTATTTTTATTATTTATGAGCATACAGGGTGTTAATTAAGTATGTACCGTAAATTCAACAGACGATTCTTTAGGTCATTTTAAGACGAAATGTTCATATAAACTTGGTCTGCAAATCCTTCGTTCTCAAGATACAGGGTGTTAAAATAAAAATAAAAAGTTATTCGTAAATATCTTACCTTCACCTAATTTTGTTGTAATTTGGCAATGGTATTTATAACATTACGGAGCTAATTTAGCCCTAACGTGATTCAATTTATTAAGTCCAGTGGCGTCTCGAGCGGGATTTGAACAAATATTTTTACTAAAAAATGAACGCCACTGACTTTTGTGCAATTTTTATTATTTCTTTGGATTGAGCAAGTAGAAATACAACTTTTTTGTCTCCTAAAATTTGTTCGTATCTTGCTTAGTTTTTAAGAAAAAAAAGTCGACCTAATTGCATATCCCTGGACCTCACAAAGAATTATATGTTTTAGGTTAAAAATATTCGTTCAAATCCCACTCGAGACGCCACTGGACTTAATAAATTGAATCACGTTCGGGCTAAATTAGCCCCTTGATATTATAAATACCATTGCCAAATTACAACAAAATTAGGCAAAGGATATTTAAGATTATATATATTATTATAGTACGAATAACTTTTTTTTATTTTTATTTCAACACCCTGTATCTTGAGAACGAAGGATTTGCGGACCCATGTTTATATGAACATTTCGTCTTAAAATTACCTAAAGAATCGTCTGTTAAATTTATGGTACTTACTTAATTAACACCCTGTATACATATTTATGAACATATTTCTCTCAGCCCGACTGAGAGATATTATTTCATTTTATTGTTTTGAATAGATGAATGCTACACAACAAAACAAGGGGTTTCGCCCTTGTGTTTTGATGAATATATAATATAAAAATTCCTTGTAACTTGTTCATATCTAGGAACCTATACAGGGTCATACCTCATAAAGGGAAATAAACTAGAAGATGTTGTCATCATAAAGTTGCGTGTTAAAAATTGCAAAAAAATATTAAAATGATTTGTTGTGAATGGATGCTTTGACATCTTGGATCTCTCCGAAATAAGTTTTGTAAATATTTCGTCTTCCAACCCTCAGTAAATAGCCCTGGTTCTTCCTAATCCTATTATCTAAGTTAGTATAGGTTCAAAGTAAGTGGCCCAATCGAACCTCACTGAAACTCGTTAGGGTTTATTGTGGGTCACACCAACTCTGTTAAATGAAGCCAGCTAAGCTACATAGTTTGTTTGGTGATGATTCATTAGGTCTGATGGCTAAACCGAAACTCTCTGCTAAACATTGCAATCTGATGTGAGCGGCGGGACACATCAAGTATTAGCTCTGCTGACTGTCCAAGTATCTTCTGAAGACCTATAAGTAGGCCTGTTATATAAATTAGGTGATCCCTGCTCACAACTGTTCGGTGACATTATTCGAAGGATGCATATTTGGAGGGTTCAATGGCGAGCGTTTGATCCTCTTCTTGCGGTTCACATATTCATTGTTTGTTTGGGAAAACCTGAACTGATGCAAATAACAGGTCATGATTCAATGAAATGGCTTGCACCCTTCCTTGCTAGGGAATCATCAGTTTCACTTCCTTCCAATACAGTGTAGCTAGGAATTATTAATAATGATGATAAAGGTCTTTATTTCCCATCATAATGAACTCATTAGCCAGCCCCTGTTATTGTTCTCAAGCAGATTCGGACGTTTATAAAAAAACTGGCTACTTGCATTCAGTTGTACACGTATCATCAGCAATTTCAATTCAA